TGCAATACACCACCATTTTATGATACACATTAACATTTAACTTAAATACTGACACTTTTAATTAAATTTTTTATTCTGAGATATTGGCTTGAAAATTAAATACTTTTAATCGAAATCTATTAATGTATAACTCGTTTAAATAAATAACTAATTATCCAGCTTTATAAGGAATAATGGTAATAATAATATATATATAATAGATAATATTCTAATAAGCATTATTAATATATTTAATCTAGTTTTATATTTAAATATGTAAAGCAAAATCAAAATTTTCTAAACACTTAACATATTTATTCTTACGATATTATTCATTGAAATAATGTGTATTTATGAAATATAAAATACAATCAAATTATCGTACCAATTTTATTAGATAATATAGAAGCAATTATTACTCATAAGTAAAATAAAGATAAGTAGAGAATGTAGATAAGAGWTACAGAAAAACAATTTAACTCAACAATTTTATATCATATGTGTAATTATTAAATTATTTATATTATGTYAAATTGTCAAACGATATCAAAATACGACTKAAGAACAAACATAATATTTCATATCATTATTAGGCCAATTTACAGTGAATCTGAAAAGTACAGTTTGCACTTACTCTGAACAATAACGTTTAAAAAGAAAAGTAGGTAWCTATTTTGTTGTACAATAGGTATCGAGTGTATTCTAGTTATTGAAAAAGTCACTATATTACTATAATGCATGCGTTCAATTTGAATTCAATGAATCAAATATATTTTATTTTATTATTAACGTATTTTAAAGCAATTTATTTTACTGTTATTAAGACAAATTGAAATTATTTTTGTCTATAAAATATTAGATTTGAAGATGTAATATTTGTATAAAATAACGTTAAAGTATCAAGTATACACGAAAAGTATTTTTAAATAACAGCAAAATAACTAAAATCGTTATTCTTCGTATAAATATATAATGTTATCTTAAAATGTTTATAATAACAATTGCGTTTATATATTTTTAGATTTATTGACTTAAGTATAAACAAACTTAGGAGGAACGCTGTAATACATTTTCAAGATTTTTGACCAAAGAAAAATTTGATTTTCATAAAAATAACTAACATAAAATAAAAATGTAAAATATCTATAAAGTATAAATAGAATAATTATATCATATAATAAAGAAAACGTAAATAACATTTGATAAAAATTATCTAACACCAAAAATACAAATTTATTACAAAATTGTTTATTATAACAAAA